GTAGGCAAAGAACATATCTCATAAACACTGTATCTCTTTTTTCCCCATAAGTTTATTGGTACATTTTAGGTATACATTATGATCACATTCATCATTGGGAATTTGTACCTGTACGTGATATATCTTGGTTCTTGTTTTTTTTCTCTCTCTTAAATTCTTTTATTGGTACATTTTAGGTGTACAGTACACTTACATTTATCATTCGGTGCTTGTACCTGTACATGATATATCTTGGTTCTTATTTTTTCCTCATTCCCCTGCCCTCCCTTCAACCCCTCCACCCTTCCCTATTTACAAAGGCTTTGTTTCCATTTTTTCTCATGTCTTTTCCTTTCCCTTCTTTCCTTTCCCCTACCCCTCCCACTTCGCCTACCCCTTTGGACCTTTGCTTCCTATTTCACATTAACAATTATTCATTTTGATCCTTATTTACACTTTCAGTTTCTCATACCAGAGAAACTATTTGGTATTTACACATGTGTGTCCTATTTATTTCACTTAAGAGTATCACCTGAATGCACATCCATTTAGCTCTAAATGTCTCTACTTTACATTCTGTATGGCTGAGTAGTACTCCATTTTATTTAAAAACAACACATCTTTTTTATCCAGTCACCAGCTGATGGGCATTTGGGCTGTTTCCAAGATCTAGCTATTACAAACTGTGCCACTATAAACATGAGTAGCGCTGTATCTCTTTAAGTGTCTAGCAGACATAGCAATTGATACATAGTAGTTGGTAGGTGAATGACCTTGTGTTGGTGGTTACATTCAAAAATATTTGACTCTTGGAGAAACCAAATCAGAACTTCCAATCAGTCCCTTTCTATGGCATTTGAATCAAGCTGTCAGCAGCTATGCAGATAACCTTTCATCTGGTCTTTGTTCATCCCATGAAAGAGTTCCCTGGCCCAAGCTCACCTTAGAATGCCAGCCCACTCCTAATTCAGACCTCCTTTGGCATTGTCCTTGTTACCCTTCCCCAAATTGTTTTTCGGATCTCTGGCCTCTGACTCACTCACCAGCTAAATAGCAGATACAGCTACCTAACATAAAAACACATTTGCAAATATGCAGAGAACAAAGAGTCTTTGGTCTGGGTAAGGCCATAAGTGTCATCTCAGGGGATGGGCTGAGAAATGCTTGGTGCCAGTTGGGTTCAACAGTGATTCACAGGCAGTTAAGAATTAAAGTTCCTCTCTTTCCCCAGGAAAGGTCACTTTGTCCAGTTTCCTCCTGTTCTGGTTGAACTATGAATGCATACATTGACACATTTTTGTTGCCTCCTGGCCTGATCATTTTTCAATTACAGTTTGTCCCTGCAATTCTGGCACAGGGTCAATTCAGGTCTCTTTCTGACCATAGATCCACATTTGTGAAACCCTAATTAGGCATTTCCTTTAGCTGCTGGCATTAGGTTATTTGGTGGCAGAAGTCTAGAGGCCTAAGCTCCGCACAAAATAAAGGGTTGTGGGATGCTTATTAAGGGCTCATGAGGCAGCTCCCTGACTCCGAATCTTGGCTCAGACTGCTCTTCACACCCACAACACCCTGCATTTGATTTCAGAGAATATAAATCTTGCCATCTTTTGTAATTCATATTAAACCGAGATCAAAATAGATCCCCTTTAAAATTTCTAGTACTGCATTGATTTTTTTTCTCTAGTACTTACTATGGCAAGAGTAAATTCATGAGCGCTCTTATATCCTGTGAGTAGGAATATAAATAAGCACAATCTTTTGCAGAAAAACAGTGACAATATGTAGCAAGAGCCTTATAAATAGCTACAACCTTTGACCCAGTAATTCCATTTCCAGGATCTTTCCAATGATTATAATCAGAAATTCAAATAGATTTATGAATAAGAAATTTATGACAGCATCATTTGTCAGAACTGGTAGATAATTAATATCTGGTAATAAGGGAGTAGCTAAGTATTTTGCAGCTTATTCATCTTACATAGCCATTTCAAATAAAGTTTTTGAATGTATTTTAAAGCTGATGTTAAAAATCCATGCAAACTTTGGAACTGTTATACAGTGTGATCCATATAGACCTTTCCCAACTGTTGTTCTTCACAGGATGTTTATAGGAATGCTATAAATAAAAATGTTCCATCTTCCAGCAAGGCTGAAAGTTATTGTAGGACAATACTTGGAGGCTGCTGGGAGCCTTGGATATGCTAACGAGAACGGACCCCTCTCCCCAGGAAGTTCAGCTCAATGTGCAGGGTCGCTGTTTGACGTGGGACTCTGGAAGTTTCTGATCAATGAAACATAATTCAGCAAACCTGAAGGAAAAATGCCTAAGAAACAGCTGTACTATTGAAAAGTTAGGCCGCTCTTAAGAAATGAAATTATTATTTTTTCCTTGGAATTTTTTGTCTTTTCTAACAGGGAAAATAAAGAAAGCCAGAGAGCCATTCTCCATCCAACTCGGACAGATGCAGAGCACTGTAGAATCAGCCGAAACACGGCCACCCTTTTAATCACATGGAGAAGGCGGCCAGTGCTATGAGAGTGGTGACGGGGCCAGGGTAGGAGACCCCTCAGGTGCCACCTGGCTGCCTCTTGGTGCTGTGTGTACAATCAATCTGCAGAGCATGCGGTATTTTTAGAGGCACCTCACTGTCACTTGGGGCCTGACCACAGGCTTCCAGATGCCTCTGGGAACATCCCCAGTATGTGAACCATATTCCAGGCTTCCCCTGCTGCTTGACTACCCTCAACTGTAAACTCCAAGTCCAAGGCACAGTGGGCCTCCTTAATTGGGAACTCTGTTGAAATATTCTCAATAGTCTATTCAAATAGTCCCCTCAGTCTTCCCTCAGCCCTACAATCTGTCTCCAGGTCTTGCTTTGTTTCACCTCTAGGAGCCAGGTCATCCCTCCCAAGTCATAGGCCCAGCTCATCAACCCTGCACCCAACCAGGGTGTGGTCCAAGACATTCAGTAGGAGAGGAATATAAACTGAGGCTGGGCTCCTCACTAAGTATTACAAGACTTTGGACCGACCTGCCTGGACCCCTTCAATTTACCCTCCAAAGTCCCATAAAATATTCATCAGACTTTATCAGGCTAATGGTCTTCAAAAGGAGTAATTTTCTGAGACATGAGACAGGACAATATAAAAAGAGCATTAAGGAAAAAAGTCTTATTTCAAAATGAAAGGAAAAAGATCATTTAGCATCCCTGTTGGTGTTATCTATTCATGAGAAGCAGCACATTTAATCCAGAATGGGATATAGAGAGGGCTTTGATGCCCTCACCTTGGGGTCACCTTCACACAGAACTCATTTGTCTGCTCTGCAAAAGACAGCAGGAGCCATGGAGGTGATACAGATGAGAGACATTTCAGAGGAAGACTCCATGGGGCACAGAGGGAGTCCAGAGGGAGTGTAAAGGAGAGAGCCCAGTGTGTCTCCAAGGCGCACACTCAGGGAATCAGAGCCTGCTGACACTATCTCCAGTCTTGCTACCTCTTAAGCTTCTTGTTTCTTGTCTTGAGACATGCCAGGGTTGACTCCTATTTTGGATCATGGTGTATAAATCATTCTCTTGAGGTCAAGGATTGTGATTCCACCCTCTACAGACATCTCTAACCAACATCTCTCACCAACCCACCAAGGCTGTTTCCAAGCCCTACGAGTAGAAGTCATGGGTTACTATGAGAGGACATGTGTGACTGAATGGCCTCCACCAAATCCAACTCAGGAGCTTCCTTTTGTGGTCTTTTTCTTCCTTTTCAGGTACAAAGCAGGGAGGAACTGAGTCCTACCGAGAAGACTATCTCCACTGGAAGTTATTTTGTTTGAATTGAAAGGTCCATGAGATTATACCAGCTCCTCAGTAGGCCTTTAAATAGATAAAGAATTAGGGGATCCAATTCCTTCTTTGTCTTTCTCTTTCATGGCCTTCCCTCTTACTCCTTTCTAGTGCCTCATTCTTTCCTCTTCCATTTTCTTCTCTCCCTTTCTCTTTTCTTTCCTCTTGCCCTCCCTTATCTTCATCTTTATTTCTATTTCCAATCTTATACCTGATCTATAGCCATATCTAGCCCCAAACTTAGGAAAATTATTCCAACTGAACTTTTTTCTCTGCTAAAGAACTAGGAGAATTTTATTCAAAGAATTTTAAGCCGACATTGCTACTACCTATTTACCAAACACTTGTCAGCCTAGAGAGCTGGTAATTCTGTGACCAAGATAATCTGCCTACAGTTGGCACTCTGTATTTGCAGTTTCTACATCTGTGGAGTCAACCTATTTATTGACTTAGCAAGACCCTGTCTCAAAATAAAAAATAAAAAATTTATGGCAATGGAGCTCAGTGCAAAGGCCCTGGGTTCAATCCCCACTACGAAAGAAGGAAAGAAAGAAAAATAAAGGGGGAGAGAGAGAGAGAGAGAGAGAGAGAGAGAGAGAGAGAGAGAGAGAGAGAGAAAGAGAAAGAAAGAAAGAAAGAAAGAAAGAAAGAAAGAAAGAAAGAAAGAAAGAAAGAAAGAAAGAAAGAAAAGAAAGAAAGAAAGACTTGCACTAAATAAGAAGAGACTTTTTTTTTCTGGTCATCATTCTGTAAACAATACATAACAACAATTTGCATAATATTTACATTGTGTTATGTATTACAAGTAAAGATGACCTAAAGTATATGGGAGGATATACACAGTTTATATGAAAATATATGCTATTCCATATGAGGAACTTGAGAATCTACAGACTTTGGTATCCACAGGAGGTCCTGAAGTCAATCCTCTGAATTCTGAAGGGTGATATATTTACCTGATGATTAGATTCTCAGAAACACCAGAAGCAATTTCTTATCATGTTTGACAATGAGCTTCTATAACCTCAGTATATGTCAATCATTATGTTCTTTATATTCTCAGTAATAATAATTTTGACCTGAAAATCTCTTCTCTCATTTTGTAATTAGAATTAAAAAGTATGATGTTGCATTGCATATTTGATTTTAAGTGTTGCTTCCCTTTCTTTTCATTAGATTTGTGACAAAGAGTGGCATTACTATGTCATCAATGTGGAGTTTCCTGTGGTCACCCTCTACATGGATGGAGCGACATATGAACCATACTTGGTGACCAATGACTGGCCCATTCATCCATCTCACATTGCCATGCAGCTTACTGTCGGTGCTTGTTGGCAAGGTAACCTTACATGGAACCTTTCTCCCTCCTCTGTGTACAGTCTAGGAAAGATGCTCATAGAGAAAAAGGAAAACCATGTGGTATGAGAGTTAGCCCAAAACAAGTTGCCAGCACTTACTAATAAAACAGGACTTATAAGTACCAATACAGACACTAAACCTGTATAATAATGAAATACTTGGCTAGATTTTTATTTCAATCAACATGTGTAGTGCCATGGTTGTTTCTGAGTTGCTAATGCCATTCACTATTCTGAAATTTTATCTGGTTCCAAACAGGGATTGTATGGAGAAAAGGCTGAATGTGAATATTGTGTTAAAATTGCTAATTGGCTCTGGTGCATGCAAGGATGGTCAGAAACCAAAAATCTCCCTTTATCCCCATGCAAGTTCTCCAAGCCCATAACCCTCTGTTCATGGGGTTCAAGAATGCCCAGGGTTGTGGGAAGCAATCTGCCCACAGGGAAGGAGGCTACTCTCAAGGTCACCTCAGCCCTAGAACATATCCCTAGACACCCAATCCCCAAATCCAGGCCTACCTCCTTTCTGAAAGCAAGAAAATGAGCTTTCTATGACTGCACATAACCTTTCTGTCTCTCACACAGACCAGGAGAGTCTTTGTTTCAGGTCCCTAAAGAGTTAAGAGTGTTTTTTTTTTTTTTAACATAATGAAAGAGCAGAGGGAAAGAAAGATGCTCCCAAATAAGCAGAATAGTAATTTGAAATCTGACCCAATCTTATGTTGATAGATTCTGTGAAAACTTCCAAGATTTGTGACTTGAATCATTCATTACAGGAGACTAAAAGAAGTGAGCTACAGTGCAATTATCCCTCAGTATTCCCAGGGGATTGCTCTCAGTACCTCATGTGGATACCAAAGTCTATAGATGCTCAAGTATACTTGAAATATTGCAGTACTTGTGTTCAACCTATGTACATTTTCTTGTGTATTTTAATCCCTGGATTTCTTATTACACTTCATACAACATAAATACTACATAAATCATTGTTATATTGTTTAGGTAATGATGACAAAAAGTCTGTAAGTGTTCCATACAATTTTTTCAAACATTTTTTTCCATCCACAAAACTTGTGTGCATTAGTTAAATTTGTGAGACACAATACCTGGCAACCACAACTTAAAGGAGGAGAGATTTGTTTGCCTCATGGTTTCACAAGGTTAATTCCATGGTTAGCTGGCTGGCTCCAAAGCAGAAAAAAGCATGGTGGAAGAGCATGGTGAAGGAAACCTGCCTCCTGGCAGGAAGCAGAGCAGGGGAACAGCACCAAAGAGGAAAAGGCCAGGGATCATAGATAATACCCAGGGTTATGCTTTCATAACCCACCCAGACATACCCAGAATTGTGCTCCACCAATCCCATGGGCGGCTACCAAGCCAATGAAGTTGACACAATCAAGCTTCACCACCACACTGTGAATTTGGAGGGGCACTTGTGTAAGAATATGTCTGCTGAGGACCAGGTGACCTGAGAGCAAACTAAGGAAAACACAGGCCCCTCTGGTTAGACAAAGGATGACTTATGGGCATGGATAGACGATGGAAGGGTATGTAGTGCTGCTGACAAGCACTGAGGATGCAAAACCCAGGAAGGAGATAAAGGTGAAAGAAGAGAAGATGCTCATGAGCTGAGGCCATCTACTTGATGTCTGGCATTTATCATGTTATAGTGAAATGCTCATTAAGAATTTCAATAAATGAGAGTTTCTACAGTACACCAGCCTTTTCCAGGATATCTGGAAAGGAGATTGTGTCACCTAGCAGAAGACCATAAACTTAATTGGTACAGCAAGTTTCTGATTTAGAGGTTGCACAGAAATCATGAACCATTAAACACAGCTGTGCAAGAATGCTGTCTCTTGGTGTGGCTCACTGCCCTAGCCCGATATTACTATGGATATTATTGGACATACCTGAAGAATGCCCACAAGGAAAGAGGGCCCCAGTCATGACATCCCATGAACCCTACTGTGATTCTTCCCTACAGGACCTCAGAAACTACATCTGGATTCCTGTAGGCCCAGCCTGCAACAGAAACCTGCCCACCTCTGCAAGGCCAGCTACAAGTACCATTACCCTGCCTTATGCCTACTTCCCAGAGTGGAGAAATATAAAGTGGTTGTATAAACAATTAAGATAATCCTTGAGCAATTTAGAGTAGGCTAAGTTGTGCTGCAGAAACAAACAAGTCCCAGTTATAAGTTAATTAAAATAATTCTCATTTCATAGTCACTGCAAATCAATAGAGGTTCTTCTCTATTTTCTCTTCAGTGTAGGACCCAAGCAAACAGAACAGCCATGTTTTGGGGTATTCAGAAATAGGAAAAGAAAGCACAGGAAATTGTGCACAAGTTCCTAAATCTTCCACCTACCAGAGATGCCAATCATTTTTATTCACATTTTATTGGCCAAAGCAAGTAATATGGCTACAGCTAACTTCAACATTGCTGGAAAGTGATATCTGCAAGGATATCTGGAAGAAATATTCAAAATATTTTATGAACAAATAATATTGATAGACAAGAGTTTGTACACACCATTGACAAATATTTGTTGATTCTCCTGCTTACATAAGCAATGCACCCACTCTTCCTAAGTAAGACAACACGAAAGTCCCACCTATTGCTGGATCCAAGCATCTCATCTGAATGACTCATAGTGACCTGTTCCTCAGTGGGAGATCCCAAGGAAACTCTAGGGCAGGTGGACATGTGGCTCCACTTGATCTGGAGACCTGCACACTGTTAGGACAAATCACTTGCTGCCACCACAACCAGGATAGCTCCTTTCAGCACACACACACACACACACACACACACACACACACACACACACCACTATAAAACAATGGAATGAGACAGAATAACCAAAAAAGCACTTCTGCTGATAAGGAGGGAAAACTAGAAATACAGCAGTCTTGACCCATAGCAGTTCAGAAATCCATTTAGGCAGATGACATGAAGATGGAGAATATTATTTGTGGCCCTTGACTCCATTCACTGGGAGATGTTTCCTTCTCCACTATCGCCACATCTGATGAGGGCATTGCCACTCCCTAAATACCAGTCCTAATATATGTTTGCAGTTTACTTAAAAGCCATTCCACAAAAAATATTTCAAATATATAAAGCCCACATGGGTGTTTATTTGGTAGAAAGAATGAGCACTAGTGTGTTCACAAGTATAGGACTGCTCTTCCTTGGGGGCGGGTATAGTCATGTGTCTTATTTTGCCTACTTAACTGTGTATGGAACTGCTTTATGTCATTCCTTGGTAGAAGCTTTAAGAGCTACTGTTTCAAAGAGGCCTTTCATATACATAGAGGTGTTAACAATCCTGTGAGAAAGTGTGATTAGTCCCAATTTGTAGACAAGTAAGGCCAGGCTCTGAGAAGTAAAGTAGCTTACTCAAATTCACCCAACTAAAATTTTCCAATCCCAGGTCTCCAATACCTATACTTTCTTCACTGTGGCTCATTGCTCCATGTTGTTAGGTGATCATTTTTTTGGTGTAATTATGTGTTCGGAAAAAGGCAAGAGCTGATGTGTACTGATACAAATGCAATAAATCCTTAACCTTTTGAGACTCCAACAACCTTGTGGTTAAAGAAAAACAAAAATACTGCATTCCTCTTGCTATATATGCCCTTAAGTGACCATCCAAGGAGCAGTGAAAATAATTTAGGCTTTGGAGTCAGAAAAGTTTGAGTTTGAGTCAAATCTCATCTCTGCCACTACTAGTTATGTGGACCTTGTAGGATCCTTAACTTCTCTGAGCTTTAATTTTGTTTTCTGTAAAATAAGAGTATAATCTACCACATGGAGTTACGATAAGGATTAGGTTCTGAGCACATCAAGTATGCTTGGCATGTTTTATTGAAATGATTGTGTAGATTTTTAAATATCTCCTGGCCTCTCCTCCATCCCCTCCTCTTTTCATTCATTTGAACACAACACTTCAGAAGGTCTGCAAAGCATCAGCATGCTCTAGCTTCTGTGGTCTCAGCTTTCCTCACTTTTTTTTTTTTTTTTTTTTTTTGGTACTGGGGATCGAACTTGGGTCCTTGCACTTGCACAGCAGTCTGTGAAACCACTGAGCTAAATCCCCGGCCCACTTTCCTCACTCTTAAGGAGAAGGATATCCTGACTATACCCCCTCTCCAAGGACTGAACCTCACACATGGACCCTGTCCTACCAGGTCCATATAAGAGTCAGAAAGAAAGTTGGTGAACTGGAGAATAGTCAGTCCTAAGCTAGGCTTTGGAAAGTGGGCCTTGAAATGTAGGGCAGGAACCTGAATGTGCAGTCTTTTCAGCCATATAGATTTGGGCGTCTTCCCTGAGAAGACTGATAGCATATCTGCAAAGTTTCAGCAGATGAAAAAAAATTCTGTAAAATCTTTAAAAAATACTCTATAGGATGAGTAAGATTTCTCAAGTCAACAACAGAGAAGCTTGGCCTGGTCACGCTCAGGGTTCCTACCATTAGAACATTCATGGCCCAGAAGGAATGGAGAAGAGGCTGGAAGGAGTACAGACTAAACCCTGGGACATCATAACACCTTCGTAAGGAGTTTGAATTTTTGATGCCTACATCCTTCTTGAAGCCACACTTTTGTCTGGAATAGGTGCATCAAAAGATCTTTCAATAAGGTGCAGCACTGTGAAATTAATGGCCTGCAATACAGCCCTTATCTCCACATGTTCCTAAACCTTCTGCCACCTAACTTATATGCATAGGATAAGCTCTCTGAGTGAAACTCTAATTGCTTTTGGTCCTGCAGTTGTGGGGAGCTTTTCAGGTGCTTTTGAAGTTGGCAAGGGAACAAGCTCTCATTTGTGAAATTTCCAATCTGAGTTTAACAGTGGGAATGGAAGATGATTTGATAGCAGCTGCTTGCTGGGCTCTCCTGGGAGTTAGCTTCAGCACTGCTGCTGGGCACTGTTCTGCAACCCCAATTAGACTACTGTGTCCTGTTAGC